ATTGAAACTAGTTATATGTAATTAAAAAAAGCGATTTGCATACATCGAACTTATCTACGTTCGTCTTAAAAACGTAAATATATTCTTTTAATTTCGTTGGAAAAAAATTGTTCCTTAACGCATCTAATCCGTACTAACGGCGAATAAAAGACTATCTCTCTCTCTCTCTCTCTCTCTCATTTTGTAAGAGAGAGAAAGAGAGAGAGAGGGAGAGAGAAAGAGAGAAAGAGAGATTGGGATAACTCGACGGTTTCGAGACGAGACAGGAAAGTCTCGCTGGAGAAAGTTACTTTTATCGAGCGCGATAGCACGACAGGTAGAAAAGTGCGCGGGTATGCTACGTTAATTGACTTATAAAATGCTTAAATAATTAAAGCGGCCATTAAATGCCAGCCACGGGGCAACCCTCTGGACGTCGTATAATTTGAACATTGTTTCTCCTTTCTTTTCCTTCTCTCTCTCTCTCTCTCTCTCTCTCTCTCTCACCCTTTGTGGTAACGCGAAAGCTTGTCCGCTTCTCTCATCCTTTCTCTCTCTCTCTCTTTCTCTCATGCGCGCGCGCTTTCTCGCTCTTTCTCTGTCTCTTTCTACCAAAAGCGGACAAACCGCCACGCGCGTTAATTCATTAGCCGTTTGCCATACATCGTACTCCGCGAAACTTCCGGGTTTTTAGACTCTCTCTCTCTCTCTCTCTCTTTCTCTCTCTCTCCTCTATCCTCTCTTTCTCTTTCTCTCTGTCACGAATTTCGAACGATACGCAAGCCAGCCGTTTCGACTGTAATAATTCACAGTCTGCGAGCGAAAGCCGCCACCGTCGCCGTCGCCGTCGCTTCCCTCTTGCAGCCCTCCTAGTACTGTACTTTTCTCTGCCCTTCGATGTTATCGAGGTGTTGAAAAATTAGCGCTCGCGACCACCGTTGCCCGTCGTTTCTGTCTGAACGCCGATGAATTTTTTCGACGTAGGAGAAACGTACGGCACGGTTTTAATCGATTTACGGAAAACTACCGGACGTTTTTGTAGAGACGGACAACTTGCCGACGTTACCACGACGAGTTGACTTCGAGAGATGAAGCGAATAAAGACTGACTCTTTTTTTACGAATTACTTCCTAAAAAGGCTTTGTATTTCGATATTGATTTATTGAACTGTTCGTAGAGATTTCAAAAAAAAAAAAAAAAAAAAGAAGAAAAAAAAAGAAATAAGAATTATGTTAATCGAAATATTTTTTACTTTCGTAAGAATTTTTGGAATTCGAGTAAATATGATAAATATCTAAATATAAAAGAAATTCACTGAACGATATAACAGGAAGCTTGAAATATATTCTTCGATACGTAGATAATATGAATGGATTGTATTTAAAAAAAATAAAACTAAACTTTGGTAAACAAATTCATGGAATATTCCCAAACAACGATCTAATATTTTCTCGTTATATAAAATATGTACGGTAATTACCTTGAATGTTCTAAACAAGCACTTCGGTATGGGCTTCGTTCCAAGTTGGAAAAATACGCGACGAGTGGGATAGTTTGGAAGTGTCGTCCGTCAGAGATCTGCCGCAAAATCGGCGGCCGTTAACGGCTAACGGCGAGGACACGGTGATCGCTTAGGCACGACACGACACAAATAATGCAGTAGCGTAGTAGTAATTTGTCCGCGTTATTCGGACTCTTCTACTATCCCTTTCTCTCATCGTCTCTCTCCCTCTCTCTCTCTCTCTCTCTCTCTCTCTTTTCATTCGAGCATCGAAGTGCGCTTGGTAACCGAAAATATAGACAAATGAGTTAAAAAACGTGCCGGTAACACCTTGTCGTCGCGGAGAATGGCCGTCCTATCCTCCCCTTCTCTTTTCACCCTTCTAGCGAAGCTCCGAACGATTTGACATTGTCGAAAGTTAATCAATGTTGGTACCGAAGCGGCCACGATAGAAGCAGTTGCCGACTCGGACCTCGTAGTTTCAGCGTCGTTTCGTCAATTTTTTAAAATTAAATCACTATCTGTCCTTGTTAAACGCGTTTTCCCGATGTAACCTCTTTTCCCTCCAACCCCTCTCCCGCAGTATGCAACCTCTTCGCCGATCTACCCTTTCCGGTTCGATGCTAGTCGAACGCCTTCCCCTCTTCCCTCCGTTCTTTCGTTCGCTAACTTTTTTCCCCGTTTTCTGTCCTGTTCACTCTCTCTCTCTCTCTTTCTCTCTCTCTCTCTCTCTCTCTCTCTCCCGTTCTCTTCGCTTCTCTCCTCCTCTCCCCGTTCCACGTGCTGCACCTAATGACAGACAGTTGCCGGCGAAAAAAAGTGTGTAAATCTGCGAGAGAGGGCACGCGGGGGTACGGGGTGATAAAAAAAAAAAAGAGAGAGAGAGAGAGATAGAGAGATAGGGAGAAAAAAAATGGGGAGAGGTAGAGAGAAAGGGATGTTACGCGAAAAGGGAGTAAGTGGGAAAGAGGAAGAGGGGTAGGAACGGGGTAGAGATAGAGAAAAAGAGGGAAAGGGTAATGAGTGAGTACAGCGCCATCACAGCACGCGCAACTCCATATAGATGGCGCTCGGTAGACGCGGCTCCGGCGAGCGGCCATTCCGGTAAAACGCACCGGAATAAAAATAATAGCTGGAAATGGACACGGGGGTAGTACGGCAGCTCGTCATTTTTTTCTATTAGCCGAAACTTACAAACACCCGGGGCTTCCGGCCATTTCGGAACGGTCGCGCGACCACCAAATCGCTCCCTCTCTTTCTCTCTCTCTCTCTCTCTTTCTCTCTTTCTCTCTCTCTCTCTCTCTCTCTCTCCCTTTCTCTCTCTCTCTTTTACTCTTTTCTGCATTCGCAGCCGCGAGAATTCTCCGTACCCGTCCGAATTTTGGAAGGCCGGCCCGCCGGTGTTTAGCGTTCTCGCTCCCGGGATAAAAATGGAGGCCATATTTTTTTCAGAAACGCAAAAGGAACTGGCCGTTTCCATACGTTACTCGCGATTAAAATATCATACGAGCCGTCGACGGTGACAATTTTTTCCGTGTTTCCTCGTTTTACGTCCAGAAACGTGAACGAACGGCATTTTAAACGTTCGACGATATGGCCGCGCCCGATGACAGCGTCATCGAAAATCATCCGCGCATGATCAGTCTTTACCCTTTTGAATTCTTCTATTCGTACCATGAAATTCGTCGGATCCTTTATTTTTACTGTCACAAGTCGTTGTATTTATACGAAAACTATTTCATATAATTTATTCAATGTTCGTAAATTATCAATGAAGAAACGATTATTCCGATGTAGTATTAACTTGTACGAAAAAAAAAGAAAAAAAAAAGAAAAAAAAAAGAAAAACAAAGAAAGAAAAGAACAATTGGAAATAATAAGAAATAACGATATTTTAACGATACTCTCTCTTTTCTTATATACTTGAAAGATCTGCAAGTTTGAGAACGCTGACAATGAGGGTTGCGATTAATTACTATCTCACATATATGTTCTCAGATCGCTGTTACGGACAATGAACGTCTGGAGAAAGAGATAGTATGTTGGTAAGAGAAAGAAAGAGAAAAACAGCGAGTGAGAGAGACCGCGAAAAAGAGGTTCGGAGTAGCGTCGACTCGAAACGCAGATCTGATTGGCTCATGAATATTAAGTTCGGCCCGCAATTATTATCTGCGTTATAAATCGGACGACCTGCCTCGCTCGCCTTCCAGCCAGCCGGCCGGTCCCTCTCTCGAGCGTTATTATCCGCGTGCTCGCGCACCTACACGAACATGTATGAACGTGTGAGCATACGTTCTTCTACAACCTTATAAACACGCATACAAATGCAACTCGTAATGCACCTCTTCGCGCAACGTTCACGGTTACCCCCAAGTGTTAATTACTAATCTCGCCTCTGCTAATTATAATTAACGCCTTTCGGTCCCGAGCTCGACCGTATTCGATCGTGTCCGGTACTTCGTAGAAAGCAAAAGAAACGATTGATACCGATCGAACTAACTTTGACTATGTTCTAAATAACTTCGTTCTAATGGAAATGAATCCTCTAGAATTTCGTGAATTCGATCGAAACTTTGAAAACTTTCTTTCACATTGCTTCTTCATTTTACGTGATATCATTCGATCTTTTTTTTCTTCTCACGCATCAATTCTCTTTTGATAACTCTTTAAAGTTATAGATGACGATGTCGAGTTGTTTGTACAATCTCGCAAATATTGCATTATTCGTTAGCTATGTAACGGGATAAACCATTGTATCAAGTTTAAAAACATTACGCGATTATTAAAGGCAAACATTTATCGGGTGTTACTTTGCGAAATGAAAAAGTATATTTTACCGATAAATACTATACGATCGTACATATACAATGTATATACATATGTACGTACATATCAAACGAGAATTTTTATCGATTTTTTATATACGTACAGTTATCTATCGTATAAAGGAAAAAAACTTTTCCATACGTAAACGTGACGAATATAACCTCTTGATCTTTTCGAATAAAAGTATCGATGAGAAACTCAAACATTGATCTGTTAAATTTAAACGTAAAATCTATCACATACGCTTGAAATATAAATCAGGCTTTAGGGTCTACATTCATTTCGGTAAAGATCGAACATTAAAACAAACGAGTCTCAGTTATTCGAAGTCGAACGCATTAGGTCGAAGCGTCGTCACATTATCATCGGCATTTGGAGCTGACGTTGGCCAAGAACCGGAGGCTACCTGAGTACCAAACCAAGACCAGAAGCGAAGCAATACTACCAAAGGTAGGATCGGACAGGCAGACGCAGTCACCGGTGTGCCAGCATCGCGCCACACTATACGCCTGGTGCCTCATTAAAATATGCAAATACGAGCTCGGCTCGTCCGTTTCGTTTCCTTCGTTTCCACTCCCCTCTCGTTCGTTTTTTCTCCTTTGGTTGCGCTCGCGCGCGCGCGCGCGTGCACGCCCGTGCGTGCGTCGAAATGTTTACGATCACAGCGAAATTAAAAGTACCGCTAAAATATTACCTCTAATACGTATATGCTGGCTGCTGTTGGTGCTGGCTGCTGTTACTCCAGCTACTCCTGCTAACTTCTACTCTTGTTTTTTGCAATCGCCTCTTGATACCAACTCTTTCTCTCTCTCTCTCTCTCTTTCTCTATGTCTTTCTTTCTTACCCTTTCAGGATTCTTAACTCTTTCTTCGACACTGTTGAAGAATTTTCCACGTACGGGAACGTAAAATCATTCCCATGAATCCATAGAAAAATCTTAAATCTAACTTATTCTTATCCCGCTAATCTGTTGTTACTCTCTACGTATCCAATTGTCGACTGACTCTCTCTCTATTGAATAACGTGTACTTGAAATACTAGATTGTTATTGTATTAAAGGTCGTTTACTTACTCATTACTATATACTACGTATTATACACGACGGTTTTGTTTATTTCTGACTCCAATGAGAAGTATCTCTTATCTCGATGTTTACAATTTGAATTTCAATGACATCAGCGTGTGATCGGTGACAGTAGTAAGGAATTGTTTGATATGTGAAAATCTATACTATGTAGGTGAATGAGATTCTTTTCATTGTTCATTGTTATTTTTTTTTAAGAAATTTAGTCATTAAATCGTTCTAAAGACTTCGTGAATGGCCATGAAACGGTGTTTTAAATGGAATCGACAAACTTAAAATCTAATTTCTCTTCTAAATTATAAAATCACATATATATATTTTTTTAATTATTTTTTTAATATATACAGAGTTTTTAAAAACGTTCTGATTAAGATATTTAAATTAAAAGTTATCGAACTTATCAACTGAAAATATTTTTTAATGAACCATATTTGATCTTCTATATATATTCCAAAAAATATGAGACAGATCGACGATACAAACACCTGTTAGATCATTACGATATTTCAACAATATTTAAAAGTAAATTTAATAACCTGCATATAATATATTTGTGATTCTTAATGGTATCATAAATTGTTCGTAATTATTTGTAAACTATTACGATCGTTTGAAACAGAAATAGTCACGATAACCGATAAATATAATTAACTTTCTCTTGTCTGATTATCACGCAAACGATATGACCAAGTTTCTACAAATGGAACAGTACGTGGTGCAAATGTGAACGAGCCTTTAAAACGCCGACGGAAAATGGCGCGAACGTGCGAGACGTGCCACCTACGAGAGTTCGCCCCGAGGCACTTACAATACACTCCCCTATTCACTTGCCATCTCGCTTCCTCCCTCTTTCTCCTTCTCTTTGGTTTCTCATCCATCGTCCAGTATCCCTCGTAACTTTATCGCCCCTTCCTTCCAATAATTCGCTGTACGTCCTTAATCCGCTCGCACTGTCTTGCACTCCTTTTAAAGACTCTTCTTTTTAAACGTAAAACCAAAGAATAAAAGAAAAACAAAATAATATTTTCTTTTTTTTTTTACTTGTAAACGTGTATTCCATCTTAAAGCATTATATTCAGGTCACGAAATTTTTCACCTTTAACCTATTTTTTATTACACCGATGTTGATTTCGTTATTGAAATTGTATCGGTATTTAATTAAACTTTTACGTATTTGTATTATTTTGTATTATGTGAAACGAATGAATATTTCTGATTCCAACAAAATAGCCCGTGGCGAAAGATAAATAAGGTACAATGCACTTTAAATGTAATATGTTAAGATCGATATCAAATCTTCCTTTTTGTTTTTTCTTTCCTTTCTTTTTTTTTTTTTTCATTAATTTTAATCCAATATCAATGAATTTATATTTAAATTTGTAACATTGTAAGTAATATCATTTGTTAAATTTTTAGTCCTTAGAGTGCCACACTAAATACTTTTTCCTATTTCTCTTTTTTACATTGGCCGATGCGACGAGGGATTTAAACCAACAGGAACGTCCGTTGCTTTCGCAAGAGCATCAGAATGATTTTTACGATCCCGATCCGCTAACGAGTAGTCCCGCGCCTCTATTTCCAACAGCCTTACGCAGCGATAATTCTTCATTATCGTACATTGTTGCTCGCGAGCAACGAATGTGCTCTAAGCCGTGAGCGAGCCGATAGTCCTTCGAAAGAATTTTTTACGAGGCGGCATCGAGAAGAGTAATCAGGGACGCCCTTTTAATTGCTACCGTTTTTGCCACGTCGAAATTCGACGTTTACGAGCGTAAAGAGTCGAGAGAAAGAGAGAAAGAGATAGAAATAGACAGAAGAATCTCTTGGAATAATCAGCCACACAAAGTCGCATGAATTTGGTCCAACGATCGTTACTTTCATGAAATTTCATCTTTATCTTTCCAATGCAGATTACCGATTTTTATTCCAAACTGAAACATTAAGAAGAAAATATTAATCGAAGGATTATACCTTAATAGCGAATAACGATTTATAGCTTATAATCCAAGACCATTGAAGATAATAAACATTTATAGATTTACAAGGATAGTTTATGTCCATATACTAGGACATTACGTTTGTCAAGGAACATGGTTATTGCTTGTTAGCATTGGATGTTAAAGAGAATGAGAGGTGTATCGAGTGGATGAACAAAGTAGGCTTTTGCGCCTCGACGTGCTAATTATGCTAGAGTCAAGGTCTACGATCTTGAAACTCGTTGACATAACGTGTGCCTTGAAAAAAAAAAAATCTCAATTGCAGGTTATTCTAGTCAAGAGATGATTGATGATCGTTCTTTGTCTTAGTACATGATTTCATTCGGATTTTATTTCTAATTCTAGCCTTAACGACATACGACAATTCTCTCATATACATATACGTACATATATGTATATATATATATATATATATATATATATATATATATATATAAATATGTATGTACATGCATAAGAAAGTTCCAATTTCGTTGAAGGATAAAATGGTGAAGATTATTTTTTCAAAAGAATCTCGAAGCATCGGAATTGAGGAGAAACGATAAATCCAGTAGGCCACTCTACCAGTCTCTGCCGTCGCTCGTCGAATAGCAACGAAAGCACTTCATCACGCTTTACCCTTATTAAGCTCGCGGATTTCTCCACGCCCAGTAGCGAATACCGTTGTGGCCGTTCCGTTCTTCTATCGCACATCGGACCGAACGATTACCGTGGAAGGGCTAACGATAAAACGCCAGAGGGCACTTCATTATGCGTAGCTCGTAACGTATTCAAATAACTTGTAATAGCGAGGTTGCTCTTTCCTTTCTCTCTTTACGCTCCTATCCTCCTTTCGTTAGGGAGAATTATAGCACTCGCCGAAGGAGCCTAACTTCGGCACTTTGAATCTTACCGGCGGAAACTGTGAGATCCAAATAATCTCGATTATAACCAGCGAGACTCCGTACGAGATAAGCAAATCGATTTTCTGGTTAATCTTAAGAGCTAAGGTGATGATCGTTAATGTTCGAAATGAATTTACGAAACGTGTCTCTGTCAGGATTGTATCTGGGCTATAGATTTGGCGCGGACGATAACCTTGGAAAGGCGTGGACGGATGGCGTCGATGGCAATGGCGTTGGTGGTAGGTTCGATTCAATTCCCATTTATAACACCGTCACATCGAAAGTGCCGGCGTAAGTACCCCGGTAGCTCCCGGGAACTCTAAATACACACGTGTCCGGCCTCGGAACCCGCGAATACTACACACGACGTACACGGGCACGCGGTAAAATTCAATCAACTTCTTGCTTTTTTTCTCCCTCGGGACAACTCCAGATCCCTCGTCAAATACGCGCGGATACCTGCCCCCTCTTTCTCACCCTTTCTCTTTCTCTCTCTTACGCCTTCTTCATTCGTTCATCACCCTTTCTCTCTCTTTCTCTCTCTCTCTCTCTCTCTCTCTCTCTCTATCTCTCGCTCTATCTTTATTTTTCTCTCATTTTATATCTATCCTTCTTTCCTTTTCACACACCAAGAGAAACTCACATCATGTGATCACGCCTCGTCGGCAGCGATGCTTGATAGCTCATTAATATTCCTCGTGTAATTGATACGTATCGATGCCGATCGCATCAACGTGCTACAACGTAGACGTGACAAAAGTCAATAACCATACCCCTCGGGCCTCCTTCTTCTCTGGCTCGTTAATTCGGCCGACTTGTTCGCCGTAATGAGTGTACGAGATCCCGTGATTCTCGAGCTTATGACTCGAGAGCTCTGTTCCGTATCGAGAGAGAAACGACACGTGGAACGATTAGCCGATATAAATTTGGCAGGTGTCTGGTTATATGAGCTGATCGTCCCTTCATCTCTCTCTCTCTCTCTCTCTCTCTCTCTCTCTTCCTCTTTCCCTCCCTCTTTATTTCCTTTTTTACTTTCTCGTTATCTTTATTCTTTTCTTTACTCGATATCTACCAGTCACCATGACGTTATTAATTCTTTTATGATCGTTAGGTGGGATTCGATAATTAGACTCTACGTTTTGATTTTATTCAGAGATTAGACACACCGAAACACCTTTTAATTTATAAATTCGTTTAATATCATATTCAATTCGAATAATCCGATGGAAAAATATTACGAAAGATGAATATTCTTCTTTTACTTATATCTTCATAAATAACGATTAATTTTAAATGGACGTTATCGTAAAATTTATATAGATATATTTTATATCTTTGAATAAAGTGAAAAATATCTTTGTTAGATGGAATCATCTTTCATGAGGTATAGGCACAACTAGTTGTAGGATAAATTATAACAACAGACAACTTCTAAATTGACGTAGAAACTTGAACGAATGAATCAAAAACTTTATCTTATCTCTTTTAGAAAGTAATGTTAATATAATACGCGTATTTACAATAGTAATATCTTTAATTTTTAAATAAATAAAACGTCACTTTTTTTTACATTTTTCATTTTCTCATTGTTAAGAGTATATCTTCGATAAGGTACGTTTATCAGAATTTATCTCTCAGTTTCGAGATAAGGGACACGTTTATGTAAATTCGTTGGCCCGACACCCTTTCAAAACTCACCCCGTATACATTCTAAAACAATAGTAAGATCGTTAGAAATGTAGATTTCATACGGCAACAATCACGATCATTCGATGTTATTTCTCCGTCGTCACAATCGAAGGGATGTTCTCACTTTGCTTCAGGAGGGTTTGTTCATCGTTTGACAGAGGAAAAAAAAAAAGGAGGGTGTTCGAGAAGCAGAAGGAATGGCGCATAATCGATTGAAAGAATTCATTAAAGAGAATCGAGAATTTGGAGGGTAGTATATGTACGTTATTATCGAAGAAAGTGACGATATTCGGTACTTGAGTAATCATACGGTTGGATTTACAACGACGATTCGAACA